TTTAAACTCTTATTCATTTATACACTGAACAAAATTATAAATGCAACACTTTTGTTTTTGCCCCCATTTTTCATGAGCTGAACTCAAAGATCTAAGACTTTTTCTATGTACACAAAAGGCCGATTACTCTCAAATATTGTTCACAAATCTGTCTAAATCTGTGTTAGTGAGCACTTCTCCTTTGCCGAGATAATCCATCCACCTCACAGGTGTGGCATATCAAGATGCTGATTAGACAGCATGATTATTGCACAGGTGTGCCTCAGGCTGGCCACAATAAAAGGCCACTTTTAAAGAATAATGACATATTAGATGGGTTTCAGTCCAGGTTCAGATCTCAGTATAGCACAGAATCTGCTGTACTGAGATGATCTGTTACTGGCTGTTGACTCTGGAAAATTTGTCATTTTGATTCCCTTGGACTTAAGTGCAGCCTTCGACACTATCAATCACTCTATTTTGATGAAATGTCTCGAGCAGTATGTTGCATCCTATCTTGAGGGGAGAACGTTTTCTGTAAAAATTGATAACATCACTTCCCCCTATGCTGCATGTACATGTGGTGTCCCACAGGGATCCGTTTTAGGCCCTCTCTTATTTTCCATCTATCTCCTTCCATTGGCTAATATTTTTCATAAGCATCAGACTTCGTATCATTGTTATCCAGATGATATACAGCTTTATCTCCCTGTTAAGTCTGATGAGAATACATCTCTCCAGCCATTATTTGACTGTTTGAGTGAAGTTAAAAGTTAGATGGCGGATAACTTCCTTCAGTTAAATGACTCTAAGACTGAAGTGTTAGTTTTTGGACGTCCGGATTTTGCAAATACCCTCTCAAAGACCTTGGCTCCTATAACTATCACTGTAGGTTCTCATGCAAGAATTCTGGGAGTTATTTTTGACCCGACACTTAAATTTGACAAACAAATAAACAGTTGTCAAATCAGCATTTTTTCAGCTTAGGATGATTGCCAAAATCAAATATTTTCTTTCATTTAAAGACTTAGAAACTGTTATCCATGCATTCATTTCATCCAGACTTGACTACTGTAATTCATTGTATTTAGGGGTCGCTCAATCTTGTCTGTCTCGCCTTCAGTTGGTCCAAAATGCTGCAGACAGATTTTTTACAAAAGCTAGGAAGAGGGAAAATATCACTCCTGTTTTGGTTGGTTTGCACTGGCTCCCCATTGAATATAGAATCCAGTTCAAGGTATTTCTATTTGTTTATAAGACCCTCACAGGCTTGGCACCAAACTATTTATCTGATCTTCTCTCCTATTATCAGAACAACAGGCCTTTAAGGTCATCAAACACTTTGTTGTTGTCTGTTCCTAAGACACGTTTAAAACTTAAGGAGGATCAGGCATTCTCGGTGGCAGCACCTCAGTTGTGGAATAACGTGCCTCTTTACTTGCGATCGGCCACTTCTCTTCAGGTTTTTAAATCTTTAGTTAAGACATATCTTTTTAAAAAGGCTTACGGGCAGGAGTAACTGCTGTATACAGTTTTATTGTGTGTATATTTAGTGTTGTGTATTACT